CAAATCCTTTGTTGCGTAGGAAACCCTCTTCCCTCTCCCGAATCCTGGAATGCTAACCTCCGCAAAATGAAGTTAAATGGTGGTAAGATTGAACTGAGGGCGAGGGCCTGCAGTACAAACAGGTCTCTGCCGTGACCATCATGGCTCGGAGCGTCGCTTCGGAAAAGCCCAGAAGTGTCAAACCCGTAGCCCGCAAGCACTGTGAAAGAGATCCGCAACCGCCTCGGAACCACGGCACACCCCGCAGTGGGCATCTATGGAGATGGTTGTTCAAAGCGAAGCGGAAGTGCATCCAGAAACAAGGTCCTGCTGGGCAAGACACCATCTCTATGATTGATTCCCCCAACGCTAGTCGAGCTGCGAACGTGTTGATGCACGGGCTCACTTGAGTTTGGACTTGTCTTCCGGAACCCTCAAAGTCGCAGCCTTTCGAGGCCATGTTGGCTCAAAACATGCGTTGGTTCCGTGTGGTCTTGCTTGTGTGGAAAACAAGCCGCATTTCACCTCCATGCAGGGAGAGGGTTGCCTCAGCAGGCTGGTTTTTGCCTCTGCGTGATTGAGGCCCAGGTCCGACATCTGCAACTCTTTAAGAGACAGCTTTAGCTCGGCGTTGTTTTAGCCTTAGGGTATCGGATTTGGGCTGCAAAGCATCCCTAGCATCACACTTATCTCTTGTGATGTAATTTTGGAGGGCGCATTCTCTTGTTTGAAACTGTGCTATTATTTGTTGTTCACAAGAACATCTTACAGAAATTGTCCTTCTCATGACCTTTCCCTGGGTCTTAAAAAAGTTTGCTCCGAACATATCTAACATGATTGCCTTCTATTTGCCCTCGAGCTCTTCGCGGGAGACATTGGCATCAGTGTCGTTTGGCTGTTCGTGGCACTGGGGCGTGTGTGTGTGGGTTTGCTGTCTTAGATGTGGTTCGTGTCTGCGACAAGTGCTGGCACAGCGCATGTCAGGCAAGTGGATTCTTTTGGGCAGGTTCCCATGGCCAGTATCTGTCCCAGAGCCAACACACTTTGACTGCGGTCTTGGTAAAACAAGGTGTCTCTCACAAGTATCCCAATCTTGAGGTGGATGGCTGGGAAGCAAGTTCCCGGCCCGCCCGATCAGGGGCCGGTTGTTTACGTTAGTGATGACGCAAGTGCTTTCAAACTGTCGACGCTGACTCTGATGCACTTCAATGCCATTCGATAGCGCTGACATGACACTAAACCTACCGGCTAACAGTTGGCCTTGTCATGTTCATGGTCAGTATAACCGTAGACAACCTGCAACATTAAACATCCCCCAATCAGGAGCCTGTGTGCGAGGAAATAACTCTGAAAGGATGGGCTTGTTTCGAACAAAGTGCTCGCTCACACCTGCCAGAAGAACAGGCAATCACCAAAAATAGTGACGCCACAATTGGTCAAGCAAAGTGATAGTCCCTTCAGAGAGGCCACCTCAAATACGTCAGAAAGGAGATCATTGAGAGGAGGGCCCCGCAATGGCCATTCGCTGTTTCAATCGATGTGACCCCTTGGCTCAGAACCTCTTCAGCACGCCGGACCCCCAACTTTGGTCCAGGGCACCATGTGCCTGGCGAAGGTGAGAAGGCTGGACAAGGACATCTGACATATTGATATAGTCTCAAGCCAGTCAGCTTCCGGAAACAACTCCAGTACCATTTTTCCTTCAATAGAGAAAATGTTTTCCCAGCCAATGATAGCAAGCATTCAAATACAACAAGGGAAACCCGAGTCAAGCTCGAAATCTTCAGCGTCTCTCAAGCCAACAGGCTGTACGATTCAAGGATTCTATAGGTCACAATGGTCTCCTCTCTTAGCCTTGAACCATGCTCTCTCTAACCGCACAATTCATGCGCGGTTCTGGATCTGTCTGTAAAGGGTTAGACGGTTGCCAAGTTCGAAGCTACGAGACTCTTGCAGGCACACCAAGCTGCAACGACCCTGCCGGATGCATTTCCTGTGCGCTTTACACAAAAACATGCGGCCGAAAACACTCTCAACGACTTTCACACGTGGGTGTACCATTCAGAATGTGATTTGAAAGGTGATGGCCAAACAAATCTACTGATAAACGTTCAGAGATGTTCAGAGGACCTATTTGCCGATCGGAACTCGTTTGAGGGAATCCGTGAAACTGGAGAAACGGAACCGTCGCCCCGTTTAATCTTTGCCGTGGCGCTCCGTGCGCCACACCAAGGCCGGCCATCGGAGCTGTCTTGAAATTGCCGTCACGTCCGCTACCCGTGTGACATCCTGTGAATGTTGTGACATGTGAATGATCGGTCTGGTCCCTTTGGCTCTTCGCCTTCTCTCGCGACTTGCGTTTAACCCCATTTGCTTGCAAGCCCGGAGCCAAAAACGGCAATCGGCAGTTGTTGCCGAAGCCAGCTGCACGGACACGCAAAGTCTTATCTTTGAGCTCAAGCAACCTGTGCATGTAACGAACAGATCTGCTTTTGCCTGCTTCACGTTTGCAACACCTGCTTGCGACGCATCGTACCAGGTGCAAAACAACGGACAACTGCTAAGAACACCAGGGCTCCCCTTGTGTGGGACTTCCTGCAGACTTGCTGGGGGGCCCTTTTCTGGAGAAGCACGCGTCGTGCACTGCACCAATGCCAAATGATAGGCTCGCCTATTCAACTAGACATGTCGACTGCAACCAGGCAAACCGTGGGGGACTTGGCAGAAATCGTGGAAATAGAAGCCACAACATAAAAAGCATGGAAGGTTGCCATGGGCGCTATGGAAATTGTGGATATATGGGATCCGCGTTGAGAAACGATCAGCCTCCGGCGTCGCCCGTTACAAAAAGATTGGATTTGCGTGCTCTAAAACGATCGGGAAAAGCATGTTGTAAAACGACGCGCTTCTCATCTTCTGTCGACCTTGCGTGAAACTGGCTCCAAAATAGCCCTGCCAAAGAGTCAGGGGATTAAGCACAAAATGCAAGTGAAAGCCCCGGCGCATGCGCACTGGGAGCCGGCCTACGGCATCCTCATGCACCCGTGAACGCAGCGCATCTTGCAACCTGAATGTCTTGGAGTTCACGAACCTCATGCAACGAAGCCTTGGAGCCCCAAAGCTTCTTGGCTCATGTGACCCACATGCCATCGGGAATGCCATCGTGAAGCGCTCCGAGGGCACGGCAGCAAGATCTGGCCAACATTGAGGGCCTGTCGCTCTCCCTCGTTTGGTGACACATTCCTTGCAGACATACATATTTAATGTGTGGTAAATACGTCTATATACAACATGCCTATGTAATATAGAATTTAATGCTCACCAGCTTGTATTTGGTACATGCGTATGTCACCGTGCCTTTTAAATGCAGATTTGGATTTGAAGTGAGCCCAGGTGCTGCTTGCTTCTGGCAAAACCTGGATGCCGTCCTCACCCAGCCAGCCCAAAATGATTATTGGCTTCCTAGCACTGTGGGCTGGGAAAGCCTGCAGTGCTTGAAAATACGCCCTCTTTCATAGGGCATGCCGACGGTTCCCTTAAAGAAACGCTATGTTTAAACTTTCCGATGGAAGAGCGCTTTGGGCACTTACTCTTACAGAAACCCAACCCCGGATTGTGCAGGAATGCTGTCCAAATTCCAGCTTCATTTCCCAAGCTAACCCAGCTTTCTGATGGGATTGCAGGAATCCCACATGGAAGTCACGGAAATAGCCTTTTCAACATTTGAGAATAGGAGACTGTATTGTGCTTTGCGGAGGCTTGGGCTTGCTTTGTCTGTGACTTGAATGTGATGCCAGGTTTGTTCGATGATTCAAAGGACCAAGCTGGCCTTCGCCTAACAAATCTGCAGATGCTCCATCTTGCGACTGCTTTGAAAGATCGTGCATGCAAATGTGCAGGATTTTAACTTCTGACGGGATGACCCGACTCATTTCCCGTCCCAGTAAGCCTTGCAAACATGTCCTCAGTTCTGCCAGTGGCTCTGCGCAAAGGCATGCTGGCAATGTGCGATTCCCTTTCAATTTCAAACCAGCTCTATTCCGTAGAGTAAGCCCAAAAACAAACTTGTAGACTTCTAGCTTCATAACTCGCCCATTTCAATCAAACAAACCAAACATCTGCAACTGCGTAATCGCCATCAGCACCAAGGGCTTGCAAGAAAAACTGATTGGCCTTGCAAGTCTTGCAGGCTCAATGTAACCTATCTGTCCCGAATCCCGAATGGCCCTCTTGTGGTAGGGCGCGCTGCGTGTGAAACGAACGCAGCCCTCAGCCCTCAGCATGGCAATATTGAAAGCCAACTCATGTAGGCTCAACACCTCTTTTGTCACGCTGCTTTCCTCCCTGCTTTCAGCATCTAAAAGCAGCGAACTGACTGCTAGAGGGTTGCAATAAGGCAGCCGCTTTGAAGGAAACCGACGCGGTGCCTACTGCCGTGCGCTAGAAGCCAAAGCTTTGCCCAGCTGAATATTGGAAGAGCGGGCACACCACACGGAACACGGAAGCAACTTCGAAGCTGACATCAAACGAAAGTGACACAGTTGTTCCCCCCTCTACACAAAGTAGTCGTTAAAGGGGGCAGCACACTTTCCATGTTTGCTGGGGGAAGTAAAAGCCAATGCCGCAGTCATCCATTTGTCCAAGACCTTTCCGTGTGATTGGGCCAATGCATTCCTTTCTTATCAAGGATATGCTCTGCACATGCACTGTGGAAAAAATCGCATAAATTGAGCAGCACAGGACCAACGTGTGATTGGCATCAAAAGCACTGCTCCGGACTGTGCGTGCAAAACTCTGAGAAGCCCAAAACCACACCAGGAATTGGGTGTCTCTTTTTAGAGGACTCTCACAATGGTGGTGGTCCTTTTGGTTGCCCTTCAAAAACACAAAAAAAGGATACCCTCAAAAAAGAAAGACACCCAAATGGAACCGTGTGTTTGTGTTGGGCTCGCTTAAGAGCCTAGACAGACATGCAACGAGCCCTGTACCTACAGGTCCGAAGGAGCTCCAAGTGAGGCAGTTTACACTGCAGTTTTGCTGCCGTCTTCGCTGCTACACTCGGATGGCAACTCCTGGCAAACATGTGGCGGGACATGTGTGATGTTCCGCTTCAGATTTAGATTATTTTTGGGCTCATTCGAAACATGCCACTGTGCAGTTGCTCAACTTGCCCAATAAATGACATCTTGCACCATCCAAACATCTGAGCCAATGGCCGAAAATCCACGGGAAAGTGGCCCTTTGATTTTGTAGGGAGTTTGGGGGGTGTCATGTCCACCCCAACATGACAATAAGCTCAATCGAACCCAATTCAAGATTCGTCAGTTGCCCATTTCAATTCACATTGAGATCACAACACTGGCTGCGCCTTGTGGACCTCTCTTGCCGGAATCCGGCCATGCGCCACATAGCTCGGGAGGCAGAGGACGCCAATGATCTGCACCAAGGAGAGCCCGGCCTTCGTATCGTTCGCTAACACTCTCGAAGCTATCTGAGCTACATGCTGAGCTCGTGGCTAGGAGGCTAAACGCAAAGCAATGTCCGCCCCATCCCCATTTCAGAGACCACGCAAAGATGGAGGAGAAGACAGCGGGCCCCGAGGCCTTCCTTGGATTCGGAGCTTCGGTCACTCACCTATCTGTGTAACTTTGCGCAAACCGCTTGTTCAGAACCTTGTCACCTTACTAGTCCTTGAAGCAACATGACATGACCCTTGAGGGCCAAGCCAATCGCCGCCAGGTTTCCCGACAGTCTCTGCGGTCACTGCAAAACCGTTGGCCACGACAACTTCGTCAGGCTCTGCCACGTTGTTGGTGAATGCGTTGTTCACCAAAATTTGAGATACCTGGACATTCAATAAGTGAAACCCGCAACATCCCTCGCAAAACTAGAAACAGCCCTCGCAATACATCGTAGCCCGGTCAAGGAGCCATCGCAGAGGCACACATGAGATGCAGCACATTCGCCACTATGACGTGGGGGGAGAAGGGCATGAGAGCAACGCTGACCACTGCGATGACACTTGTCAAGACGGAGAATTTGCGAAGTCCGAACATCTTTGTGCACCTTGGACAGATCCAAATGAAATAGATGATGTTCCATATGCCAGATCGGCTCAAGAAGGTGCCCACAGACTTCTCGGTCATCGAGAGGCCTCCCACTTCAGGATCGGCAATAAGCCACAAGGGCACGACCTCGTACATGGCGAAAATGGCAAGTCCACTGGCAAAGCGCATCGAGATGATCAACAGGACGGGCCAGTGGCAAAGCACGGATGTCGTGGACTTCCCTGATGTGGACGATATGGATGACGACGCTTCAGCTTCCTGCTTTGGTTCTGTCTCCTTGACTTCTTTGGAGAAGCTCTTGTGCACCATGATGAAGCAGAACGCAGCAAGCAGTGAAAAGCCCAACCCAATCAGACTAGGTGCCAGGGCCGGAAAGTCCTCGATGAGGCCATACGTCCAACCCCCGATGGCCGGACCCATCAGCTGCATGCCGCTGGAAGCTGCGTAAATCATGCCGAGCACTTCGGTCTGACGCTCTCGCCCAGCCACTGCCATCGCACATGGACCTAGCAGGGGCCGGGTCCGCACATCGCACTTGATGAAACCATTCTCAGCTTCTCTGTTCGGACTCTGCTCGTGTTTGCGGCTTGCTCACTGGATTGGATCTTTGGCTTCTGGCTTGACATCTGACTTTAATTGAACTTAGACTGCGCCAGCGCTCTCTGCATCTTGTTACTTGATGTTACTTGTCCTTGCTGTGACATCGTGCGAGTGCGCCGGAGCGCCTGTCAAGACCGGCCAGCCGTTCAGCACACCAAAGAAGACAAAGCGGACACTCATGGCCACGAGCAGGCTGGTGCAGAAGCCGAACCTGGGAAGAGCGGAACAACTCGCTGCGAAGCAATGCACGACTGACAATCTTTGTTTTCCAAGCGCCCGTATGGAGACTATGTTGAATTGTCTTGCCCGGTCGCAAAGACCCACCCATGAGCAGTGACACCAGGGTGATGGCCAGCACCATCTTACGGCCGTAGCGTGCTGCGACAAAGCCCCAAGCTGTGGAGGTGAGGATACGTCCGCAGACGTTGGAGGATTGCAGCCAGCCTGGGAGTGCTTCCGGGGGCCGTTTCTTGTTGTGGGAGTGGCATGTTTGCGAGGTTGGGGGGGCGAAGCGGATGACGCCGACGCCTCGCCTGCCACGAAGCCTGCCTCGTTCTTGTCCGTCACCCATCCGAGATCGGAGCTGAGTACGCCAGCGAAGCCTCGGTCCACTACCATCTCTGGCCACGGGCACAAACCTCGTGAAAATGCAAAGGCCGTGTAGAACTGCGGACTGGTTCCCTGCGCGAGTTCTGCAACAGGTTGTTATGCCTCTTAATGTCAACAGGATGTGCCTGTGCTGCAAAAGCTCGTGCCAAAGTGAAGTCATACAGATTGAAACCTGCGCATGACGAAAGCAATTCAGAGGCCTCGGGAAGAATACGTGCAACTTGGTCGATAGGGTTGTATTGCCAGTTTGCTGGACATCATTCACACCAACGAGAAAACGAAACGTTCAAGGTCCAAACAATCCGTCCCCCACAAAAGCAAAACTAACGAAACTAATTGGATAGGAAAGACAAAGTGCAAAACATTGGAAGATTGCAGCGAGACCCTTGGACCCTTGTCCTTAGCTTCCTTGATATTAAACCCGAGCGCAAGCAAAGCTATTTGAGTCTAGTCTCATTAGTTGACTAATTGGTTCGTTGAAGTTTCCGGCTGCAGGTCCAACCAGATAAGAAATAAAGCCAACTCCAAATTCCAATGTCTTACATAACTTTGCTGAAAAAGCGAAGTTAAATCAATCAAACAAAGGGAGTACTTGAAGGCAAAACAACTCCTTGTAAGGAGCCCCCCCCAAGTAATGACTTGTTGCAGCCCGCTAAAAACGGCTTCAAGCCCAACTAGGAAAAACAATCGGAAACTCAAATCCCTTAAATTCCAAACCCAATCTCGACGGGAAGCTCCAGCAATAATACTAAATGAAATGGAAACTCAAACATGGCGCCAGCATTATGACCGAATACTAAGCCACTTGATTTGGTGGGGGGGTCATCTACTTGGGAGAGTTTGATTGTTGAGGGGATAAATCAACGGCGGCCGTTGGTTCTGCTAGGTCGATTGAAACTGCAGACGACTGGTAAGACGGGCAAACCATGACCTTCCAAGGGTTCAATCACAGTCCAGAATACGTAATCTCGACAAATTCGTCAAAGCGTGTCAATTGTCGAAAGGGATTGAAGGTGCCGAAGAAGTCTCCCGATGTTTTGGCTGGGATACAATCGCTAAATGACAATGAAAGCGTAGCGAAACCAATTGGGAATGTAACTCTGCACAGGTATCAACCAAGAAAGACAGTGACACACATGGTAGACTAGATGTCATAGATTGCCATGAACATGAACAACATATAAATGTGAGGGTGCTGTTTGCTTCAATCTCTCAGTCCGGAATACTGCTCTTCAAAGTGCTTTACTCCATTCCGCATGAAAGGAACCAGTTGTCCAACCGGTGCAGGCCAGTGTCTGAAGAGAGAACAAACCGTGTAGAAGTGGGAGCCTTCCATGAGGCACAGGAATGCCACTTGCAACATCGGCAGCCGCTCCTGGAGTTCGCTCACGCAAATCGAGTTTGCCTTGTGGGCCATGTGACATCCCTGTTGGAATACGCAACTCCTAAAACAATTGGAATAGTGCACCGTGTTGGACCTCAACTTCGTGCGACTTGCCTCCAGCTCAGTCGAAATGCCCTGCCTTGGCGACTTCGCCTTCCGCGGTCTTCTTGCAGCACGACATGGCAAGAGGCATTGCAAGACCGAACTGAACCCCCGAGAACGGCGCTGCGATGCAAATGTCAAGGTCCGGTTCGCCAAACTCCGAGAATCTGCCCAAAACCACACTTGCAGGCCTACTCAGAATCTGAGCGACCCTTCCAGCTTTGTAAACAACACTTGTGACAAAGCATAGGCTGTGGCAGTTTGGCTTCTAATTGGAGTCTTATCGCAATGTGCGGCCACATTTCACACTGAATGGCTACTTTAGTGAGTCAGAGAAAGTTGGACTGCCGGCATCCATCGTTCAACTGACGCTTGCCACACAAGGCATCGCATGCCGAAGGCTTCCGTTCCGTGAGAGGCACATGTCTCACATGTCCATGGCGACGCGAGCCTCGGTTGAAGTCTTGCTCTCAAAGTGCCTACGCGGGGTGCGTTTCGCGCTAAAACTTGCACGTGCTATGGGCAACCTTGCAAGTCGAGCTTACGCGGCTACGCAAGGAGCTCCCCAGCTGACTGTCCAAAAGTGGCTACGCGCGCCTACACGCGTGTAGGAATATGCCTACGCGGGGCCTGATATGTCCACTCTCCTTTTGCCCCCTTGCTACCGGGGGGAGGAAAAAACTCCGCTCAGCTGGCGATTTATTGCTCTCAGCCAGTCGCCGACGGGACTCGTGGCCCATGGATGGAGAGGAGGGCAGTTGCCTATCATCGACTCGTAACACTTAGCAAAGGGCACTCTGCGATGGATCATCCCTTCCCTCCCCCCCCAAAACAAAAGAAGAAACACCGCATCTGGTATTTGTGGAAGGGAAAAGAAGATCCAAGCCAACTGGACCAGTTGATCTAGGGACCAAGGGAAGAATGCAGGAAAAGAAGCAAACCAAAGCAACGGCATCATGCAAGTATTCTTCACCCACCCCTAGGGCTGCGGTTGCCAGAAGCCTGGTAAAGTCTCTCAGAGAGGGAACATGTTCTGGCTCGTTTGTGGACATGGGCGTACCACGAATGAACTCAGGACTTCATGCTTCTGCATCCAAAGAACAAACTACGAAGCACTTAGTGCAAGCTGTGTGGTGGCACAGCATGATTTGTTTGATCCCAACCGGCCGGCCGCTCACACAAATGTCCTCCTCAATGGGTCCCCAGTTCAAACAGCAAACATCCAAAACTCTAGAATTGAAATACGGTTGATGCATGAAATATTCTTACCTTTCACTTGCACAGGGTGGGTGGTGCGAATTGTCTCTTTGCTGTCCTGTCAATGCGCGCAGCGTTGGCCTTTCTGTCTGGTGAGTTTGGGGAAAGCATGCACACAAGTGAAAGAACGCGAAAAATCCTGCTGACTGTCATGCTAACCTAGTAAAACCGATAGAGCAAGTCTACCACATACTGGCTCGTAAGTACTGTGGTCCAACAAGTAGGCCACACAGCTCCTGGCCCTCAAATAAGCCGGGCCTGGAGTCGCTTTCAGCTGCCAGCAGCGCAGCACCCAGTGGACATTCTGTGCATGTCACAAAGCAAGACTTGTTTTTTGATTTTAACTCTTCTCCTGGTTTAAAGACCGCAAAACGGGCCACATTGACATGGTATTGAGGCGTTGGCAAAGCATCACCGTAGGATGCACTTGTGGCAATCTTGCAAATGTGTTTTGAGTCTGCTTTTGGCTGGAAGCCACAGCTGCACATGGGAAGCAAAGGAGCGGAAGCTGCGAACAGTGCGTGGCTGCGCGGCTGGCGCGGTCCCCAGTTGCTACAAAGAGTTAGGCCTCCAAGTCGCCGGCGCATTGGTTCAAAGCCGTCCAAAACCTGTAGATGGCGAGCCCATAATGAAGAAAAGGATGTGAACACTCTTAGACTCTTGATTGTCCTACGAGTACTGTAAATCTATACGACAAGCATGATGCCACCTTGAAGCAGCGTTGCTGTTTGCAAGGATAAGCTTTCAAGCACTGATTGTGGGACAATACTTAACATACTGCACCACGTACAAGGCCTGGGCTTGTCCGCGTAGGGTCAGCATGCAAGTGGCCGGGCTATTGCTTCCAGATCGGCGTGGTGGTGACGGTGTGTATGTGCTGTATGTGTCCCCTCCATGACTGGGCGGCGGCGCCGATGGCGGAAAGGCACCACGGTCCAAAGCGTCGCAGCGATTTCTATATGACCTGCAGTGGCTTCTGACGCAGCGTCAGCAGCATGAGTTGTGCACCGACCTCCACGAAGACCGCATTGTCAAGAGACTCAGGAGAGGCCCTGTGACTCCTCTGGTCTGCGACCAGGCAACATCTCAAAGAGACACGGCAAAGGCTGCGCCTCTCACCTCTTTTCCTTCAACCCGAGCTGGATCGAGTACGTCCAATGTTCCTCGAGGCGGTAGTGAGGTACATCAGTCTCAGCTCTGGATTCGTACTGAGTATTGTGCTGGAAAGGTCGCGAGTGTCCAGTGATCGGCTCAATCTAGCCGCCCGGCTAGCCTCCTTTCTACAGCAGATGGCTTTGGGAAGTCACTGCGTGCGTGACCGAGTCTCCCCCAAATGTCATCATGCACGAGCGAAAAGCACGGCCTGCGAGAGAGGAGGACGGTTTTGACTCCTTTTACATTGCCCCCTTTCCTTCTGTTGGCTCCTGGTGGCTTTTTCTTTAAACAAGAAAGTGCTGTAGAGCTGACTAAGCGTAAAATATATTACACAAAGGACTATCCATGGTACGCACGGCGCACCCGCACGATCAAAGCAGTGTGGACGACAAGAATGGCAGCAACGGGGCGAAAAGCATGACATTGAGAGCAGCCTTCTGATTCAATCTGCGAAGTAAGCCCATTGCCTGTGACGTCCATCATGCAAATGCAGCATGCAATAACAGCGCTTATATCCTTGTAATGACAGCAAGAAAGTGCATTGTCACACATATCGTACCATCATTCAACAAAGGTATGTACTGCGAATACCTTGCTTGGCAAACTGCACTGCTTCCGTTTTACAAAATAGATGCATTACTTTTCCAGTCTGAGCAGATTCACTGAAATCTGCAGCCGAGTCTTTGGAGTAGCGGCATAAGTTCTCCTGGCGAGCATTGCTCCAAGTCAAGCCACGTGTACACGCGGCAAAGCTACAAAGGCATCTCATGATATGTCTGCCACCCCAAATTAGGATGTGAAAAAGCAGCTGCATGGCACGTCCAACAGCCGAACACTGTATCCTTCAAGCCATCAATGAATTGCACAATTCAAGTGCTCTGCACTCCAGAAACTTGTGAAAACTAGAAACACTGGCCAAACGCATGTCCATTCATCCTTAGGTTCATCCCTTTAACTCTCCGCACTTTAACTGATTAGCACGGCTCTTCGAACAGCCATCCCAAGCCATCTACCGGTTCCTGATACGACACTCCCACAAGGAGCACTGAAAACGTCGAAGCACATGTGTGAGGACACAATATTAATAAGATCTTCTAGGTTCCTCCTTCCCCTGTGAGACCACTGCAACTACATTTGTGCCCGAGTTCACCTCCTGGCTAATGCCTCAACCTGAGCAGTCTCACTTTAGATTCGTCCTCTTTGGTGCAGGTTGGAGATTTCCTGGCAACCGCCGATGAAGCTTCCGTTCACGAAGGCCTTGGCAGTATCTGGATATGTCATACACACAAGCCAAGCTGAGCACCTCTTCTTGACGAGACGTTGATCACGCAGCATTTAATTTGGGGTGCTTGGATGTACTGCAAACACACAAGCCAAGGGGGAGCGGACAATTCAATAGCAACCAGTAAACCTCCATTCCGTTAATCACTGCATCAATAACAAAGCTTTGCGGGACAAGACCGGCAAGTTCAGTCATTCGGCCAATGAGTGCATTTCTCTGGCGGCGTTGCAGCCTTCAAGATCCCTATGCGACTTCGAGCACAGGTGCCCCGGGTGACCCCGTTCTCAAGGATAGCCTCCAGCCCCAGCCTGCGGCACCGTGGAGGAGCCGTAGCGCATGCGCAAGACCTGAGCTTTCAGTGACTGAAGTCGCAAGCGGAGGCAATGAAATGCAGTGCCCTGGAAGAAAGTTCGTTTGACTCTGGAACTCTGACATCTTGTCAAAAAATGCCAATCTTCGAGGCCGTGATGAACTATGAAGGCCCTTAAAGGCTTAAAGGCAAGAACTATTTTGAAGAACCGTAGGATGCCTGTCCGCCTGCTCTTGCTGGGGTGTTTGGATGGAGAGTTGCAAACAGGGTTTCGTGGCCAAACCTTCTGATGGCTTTGAAGTATTGCAGTTCAGGCAATGCCATCTGCACTCCGGGCTTGTCAAGCGGGGTTGACGTAACAAGCTCACCACGCGAATGAAATCTCTACAGCTTGGGTTAAAATCGGGCTAAATAGCAAGGTCTGGCACGCTCCACAGTCACTGCAGTTCCAACAGAGCAGCTCCTCTACAGCAGCAGCTCCTAATTTGGTGCCAATGGCAGCCATGCACCTCTGAACTTCTCAGGACATTTCGACATGCTGGCGTGGCTCGGCTCAGGTGGAGCCTGTGTGGCCGAAACACTGGAGTTGGTAAATTCGGCCAAGATCCTGCTGGGTTGGCCCATGACGCGGCTGTCCCATGAGATCCTCAGCACAGCCGCCCGGATCCAAACGCGTGCACGCCTCACGCGAAGGTTTGTCAGGCAAAGGAATGCCGCAAGGAGGCATCGCCATTCCTCGCACCAGAATTGTTCTTTGATGTCCAGTCGTGTTGAGGCCTCGTCTTGCGGCCTGTGGCATGCTTCAAGCATTTAGCTTGGGGTAGCTGGTTGGTGCACTGAACAGACCAAAGATTTAGCCAACCTGCTACAGTGGACAGATCAGCGTGCCATTCGGAACCCCTCGGCGCTTGACACATCGTGAGTCAGATTCGGCTTTGCCGCTCTGTGCAATTCTCGAACTCTATGCATTATGCATCATTCCAAGCGTCCAACTCCGCTTGCGTGCCGGACCAACTCGACGTCCATGACAGGCGGCCGCAAGGACTCCAGAATTTGTTTTGCCTGGCAGGACTCCCAGAAATGTGTTTATCTTTCTGGTCACTGGTGATTCTGAGCTGTTGACATGCCCTGGGGTCTGATACGATTCTTGGGAAAGGATGTCAGGCAGTTGGTGTATCGGTCTGTGAGGTGAGTTACGGCTCAATCCTAACCCCACTTCAGAAAACCAACTGAAAATTGACAGCCACCGGGTTTCCGAGCCTGAACGCCAACTTCTGCTGATCAGATCTGCAGCCAGCCGCATAGTTCGACGCCGTAAAATCCGGCCTGGACGAACGGGCAGGTCTTGCTGAAGAAAACCATGTCCTGGGCCCAAGCCCCGCACAAAGTTCGTACAGCTTCCAAAATGTGGACCTGACTGAAGGAAACCTCGGCTTGTGATTGTGTGAAGAGGGCCTGTCTCTTGATTCGGTCCAGCTTCTGACTTCCTCAATGACAAACATGCACCTTCCTCGGGTTCCCCATAGGTGTATGGGCGGTTTTTTTTTGGGTTTGGCAACTACCTGTACGGCTGGCCTGCACTAATTCGGCGCCTCAGTTATACAAGACGCAGTCATGCTTTCGGGTTTGAGCCGGGCAGTAGGGGTCCCAGGGCACCACATGTTCATGAACAAGGGCTTCCACCTGTGCGCGCCTGTGGTCATCCAAGCATGTGCTGTCATGTGCATGCTTGTCCTGGATGGCTCGATGCAGCAGGGCTTCGGCCATAGCGCTGCATAGGCGTGCAGGGTACTCCTTGAGAGCAGCAGTGGACCACGTGCCGTCTGCCTGGCGGCCTCTTGGCCAGCGCCCGCGTCTGGTGCTGCTTATCTGCCCACTTGTCCAGCGCAGTGGTGACAGTCGGGAGCCGTACGCAGAGAAAGGTGGTGGGCTTAGGCGAGGCCTGCCCATACCATCCCTGTTGGAGATGCACCTCCCTGCATGCCGGCAGCCTGGCTAGAAGCTGTGCTGGCCATGTGCGCCATATGCTTGGTGCCTGCTCAGCGTGCTGTGACCATGACGGAGTGGCCGGATGCTCCATGAGCCCCGACGCCCCGTGCCGCCATGCCAACCACAAGGCGTCAAGCATGAACCACATTAAGTGGTTACCTAGCCGCAGCTGGGCGTCCTGGCGGCGACTGACGGCCACCCGGCCCCAGGGGTTGGCGCTATCCCTGACCGGGGGGGGCCCCCGGCGTCCCTGGTCGTCAGTCCAGGCGCTCCATCGGGCTATGCTCCATGTTTCGCATGGTGGTCCCCCGCAGACTGCGGCCACCCATCCTTCACGGATGAGGCGCAACCAGGTCGCCTGGTTCTCCGGCTGAGTGAGGTCGGCCCGCTGGCTAATTGCCACGTCGACACTGACAACTCGGATGTCAAGGGCATGGTCGCGCGCCACCTGCTCGAGAGCTTGCTGAAGGTCTCCGTCTCTTCGGTGACCTGCGAACAAATGCAAGATGACATTCCCCCGCTGCCAAAACTCAGTTACCTCCGCCAAGCGTGTCAACCAAGTGTCCATCACAACCAACTTGCCAGACGTGAGCCGCTCAGCACACAAGCCAAGCTCATCGTCCATCAACCGTGGCGGCCATTCAGGATCAAGCACCCACAAGGCACAACGCGCCGCACGCTTGCAACGTGTCGCAACTTCCGACCCCAAGGCGTGTGTGTGGGCCGCAATGGCCTGCAGGGCTTCCTGCAGTCCACGCGCGGCAGCTTGGCCTTGGCGGAGGAGCGTGGCAAGAGCCCGTACAAGGTCCTCCACAGCCTGGCCGAGCCGCCACTGGTCCGTGGCTTGGTTTTCGGCCCAAGTTTGTATGGCAGCAGCCATGGCCGCCCCCTCGTCAAAGGGTGCCTCCTCCGCTTCCCCCGGCCCAGGGGGGTTAAGCGTGGCCCACCAAGGGCAAGGCCCCTGTGCTCGGACCTCAGGCTTGAAGGCGTAGCCAGGACCTTCTATGTAGTCCATGGCAGCCCAGTCCACGTCTGCATGGAGCATGCGGTTCAGGCACGCAGGGTGGCGCCCGAAGTGCCGCTTCAGTCGGAACGAATCGTGGCACTCAGTAAGGCAGGCCTGGCAGCGACTTCCTTTGGCGATGAGGTGCCGAGTGGACAGCACCCCATGCGCCCTGTTGCGGTGGACAGCGCAAGCTCGCTTGCTATGCAGCACCTTGCCGCACTCGGGGCACACCTTAGGATCAAGCGCAACCATGGCATCCAAAGGAGTATTGGCTCGCAAGTGCACGCCAGCTGCTGCCGCCTTTTCAGTGAAGGCCCCTGCCCATTCCTGGAAGGCCCGCTGCCTCTCCATGTGGGCCAGGGTCATGCGCATGGCTTTCTTCACCTGCCTAGCCCAGACCGCCGGACGATCCCTGATAGCTGTCTCCAACTCCTCCCATGCCTCAAAGGACACATGCGCATGGAAACCGCACAATCCAACTCGGCTGTGAATCCACCTGACGGACTCCCGGAGATTTGCAAGCCAGCGACCCTCAGCCTTGATGACTGCCCAAACCTCGGGAGAACCAACTGTGACAAGCATCTTCAAATACCTGGCACGCTCGACATGGAGAGTATCGGCTGGCGTGAGAAGGCCAACCTGCACGCACAAGTCCCAGTCACTGACCTTCCTCTGGCAACGTCCATCAAGGTCGCGAGCCAACATCCTATACAGTCCCATCATCATGACATGATACGCATCCCAGTCGTTACAACGCTCGAACTCCCACGTACATGCATGGTGAAGGAGACTCTTCAGGATCAACTGGCAGAACAAGTGGACCCGCTGGCGCCGTTGCAGCGCCGAGTTGCGGAACACAGACCGCCGCAACCGCAAGTATGTGGCACGCGCCAGCGCTCCTCTCTGTTTGACCTCAATGTCTCGATCAGTTGCCAGATCACCTCCTTCCGAAGGTATCACAAGCGGACACTCTTCCTCTGATCCACTGTCAGAGTCATGATGCTTGCGTCTCGAAGACCATTCCCTTTGACATTCAGGAGTGTGAGCGGGACGATAGAGCAGCTTGTCTTTTCCAGTCTTTGGACAGACTGAGCAACAGAATTTGGACCCTTGCGGTGCTGTCCGGTTGCAATTTAAACAGTTCCGATCTAGCATTACTTGCGCTTTGTCGATTCGTGGCTTTTTTTGGAACTGTGGGATCTTACTAGCTTGTTCTTTGGGCGCTCGGGCTTGCAGCAGGCTCTCACACTCTTTCACACCACCTCCGTCACCGAGATAAAGCCCGCCACCACTTGGTGCTTTTCGTTTCTCGTGTGCACCGACAAACCGTTGATTGCCAAAGAGGTGGGGTGGTTGTCGACCTGCTCTCGCACGTGTCATTGGCTGTTCATTCTCCAGCGCAAACCGAATTTTCCTCAGGTCTGACTGAATGAGGTCTGGGCAGCTAGGCGTGGTCAGCGCGGCATCAATGAATTTCACTGCTTGTAATGCCATTTCAAAATCCAGGTCTTGGGGCATCCAAGTGCGAATCCCTTGAAACTTCACAGCGGCTTCTGCTAGCCTCGCATATATGTTGGCTATGTCCTTCACATGCCCCAGGCGTTCGAGGCATTTTTCGAGGTCCTTTGGTGACAGCGTTGGTGCACGACCGAACGTGGGAAGACCATCCGTTGGCCCAATCCTTGGAAAAAGAGCTAAGAAGCTATCACTCGTGATCGTATACCTGTTTTCCAAGGCATTCTTCATAGTGAATGAGGCATCAACTAGATGCTTGAAATAAAGCTGAGTGTCGAGCGAAAGCTTGCCTTTCTCGCTCGGCGGTGCCAAAGCGAAAAGCGTTCTTTGCGACCACTCATCTAGAAGCTCGCGCATGACAATAGACAGGGAAAGACGCTACTGTCAGGGCATGGAACTATACACCATGCGTGAGCTCTCTCTTGAGCCAAAATGGCTACGGTGATTCTGAGCTGTTGACATGCCCTGGGGTCTGATACGATTCTTGGGAAAGGATGTCAGGCAGTTGGTGTATCGGTCTGTGAGGTGAGTTACGGCTCAATCCTAACCCCACTTCAGAAAACCAACTGAAAATTGACAGCCACCGGGTTTCCGAGCCTGAACGCCAACTTCTGCTGATCAGATCTGCAGCCAGCCGCATAGTTCGACGCCGTAAAATCCGGCCTGGACGAACGGGCAGGTCTTGCTGAAGAAAACCATGTCCTGGGCCCAAGCCCCGCACAAAGTTCGTACAGCTTCCAAAATGTGGACCTGACTGAAGGAAACCTCGGCTTGTGATTGTGTGAAGAGGGCCTGTCTCTTGATTCGGTCCAGCTTCTGACTTCCTCAATGACAAACATGCACCTTCCTCGGGTTCCCCATAGGTGTATTGTATGGGCGGGTGCTCAAAATATCCCCAGGATAATTCACCCTCGTTTTGAGTCCTTTGGGAGGGTGTAACTGCACTTGAGAGAAACTCATTGTCGAGTGCAAGTGTTTGGGATCTGCATCCCCAGCATCGTGCTGCTTGCGTTTGGGATTAGTTGACCTTGGCTTGACATTTTCTAAGGCTCTGAGGACCTGCATTGATAGGTGTGCTCAGGCAGCTGGCACAGCAAGCTAAGTAATGGTTGAGGAATGATGAAAATATTGTAGTTGTAAGTTACAAGTTATAAGGGCTCTCTGTCTGTGTGCCAGACCTCGCACCCCGCACAGCGATATGTGATTTCTAAGATGCCTTCTACTTCCGCATACAGAAAGCCCGAGAGGGCAGGGAACCTGTGGCGCTGGTCTGCCAAGCATCTTTCTGCTTGATTTTGTTGGTGACGAAGGCATGGTCGTCCATGGTTGGCAGAATCCTCTCAGCCTCAGCACACACCACATTGCCGAATGTCGCTCCGCATTGCTACGCTGTGCACCCGTCATGAGGGATGGGTCGGACCAAGTCTACAACTTAGGCTTCGACTGCTTGAGCGGCCTCATCAGCAGCAGATATCGTTCTTACCTGAAGTACATCTGTTCACAAGCAAGGCCAAGGGCCTGCTTTCATAAGCTCTGCCGAAAATCGTGCCATTCTCCATGGATCTCCATGGCTTCCCACATTCCATTCAACACAAGCTTCCAATTCGCACTCTCCACTACTTGTTAGCCAGTCTTGGAACTGGGCACCAATCAAGAAGTGAGTCAATTGCTGCTTGGGGCTTGAAAAACAGAAACAGGAGAACCTGGCACCTGCCCGCTCCACCGCAGGGCCTGAGGAGCACTGGCGGAGTAAATCGCCACGCCCGCTGCAGGCATGATGTAGGTGGGGGCAGGTGGTGCGGCCGGCACAGCCTAACCGATTCTCGCGAAAGCCAAACAAGCGTGTCGTGAAACACCACGCAACTGGCGGCCCCTGCCAAGCTTCATTCTCCAAGGTTGTGTCGCAACATCTCTTGTTCTTCCCTTGAATGACATGCACAGCCAAGCAGCGTATCGCTGCTCTGCGAATGTGCCTTGCCTAGGCTGTTGCACGTAGAACTGCGACCCAGTGGGAATTTGCGCAGTTGCCAGACCTTGGCTGTCACAGCTAGGCACTATGCTCTGATTCTTTGTGCATCAGCCTAGCTCGCTCGCTCGCTTGCTCTCCCTCTCTCTCTCTCTCTCTCTCTTTCTGTCCGTCTCTCTGTCCCTCTATGTCAAAGCATTCGTTCAGCTGTTTTCGGATGACGTCAAACAAAAGAAGCCGAACGCGGCAAACGTGACAAAACCAGGATGATACATGATTCTGACACAATGCTTTGCGGGGGCGGCTAGTAATCAATATTCAGCTGGGAACTTGCAGTTGAGATGTCAGATGATGATAGAAGCTCTTGCCCATCCCTCTCTCCCCACTCCACGCCGGGAATTGTCAGCTGGTAGCATCTGCAGGAAATGCTTACACTGACACCAAGCATAATGCTTCGCGACACCTTGCCCTGAGCGGATGCACGCCATAGCTTGTGGCGCTGAGTACATTGCTGTTTTGTGGATCCTTGGACTTGAACCGGCTTTGCCGTACGGACTGTGCTTTCTGCCAATGTAGGCCTTCACAACTTGCAGCAATCACTGGCTGGCAGCCTAGTCAGTCAAATGAGGAGCCCAAGAAGGCAGCACCTGAGCCCGTCTTGAAGATTTGAGCGAAAGTCAAATGGTTTGGTCAACCGAACAGAGAGACATCAAACGTGGCATGGCGCTTCATCTTGTGCAGGTTAGGAGGATTCTGCTCTGAAGTGAAACTCCTTTGCTCATGATGCATTTTCTTCCAAATGAAGTCAGTGCGGGCCTGTTCCGGATGACGCAAAACAAAATCCGGCTCAGAGAAGAACGCAAGCGAGAAGACATCAATCACCCCAACAGCCTCCCAAGGACCATCACTGCAACCGAGCCCAGAACTTCTCGGAACTTGCGACCCAAGCGAGCCATGATGGCTCCGAGGTCAAACCACGCTCTGAGCCTCGCCTGCAACGCCTTCGGCGCGAGCAAACGACCCCAAGACAAAGCGCCTTGGATCAAACAATCAAGCTGTGTGGTTCTGGCCACCGCGGGCTCGGAAAATCGACTCAAACTCCACACTGATGGTCGCGAAGGTTGACACCACATCCGTCTCTCCTAGCTCCAGTGCATTCCCCTTCTGCTGAGCCCTGGCGTGGCGATGCTTGGCAGCTGAAGCCAGAGCTCGGAGGACAAACATAAAATCTTCCAACAGCTTCCACACATCCGTCTCCGGGATCTTGTTGTGTCTCACCAGCGCAGGTAGCTGGCCATGACGGTAGAAGTCCAGGAGGTATGCATTCAGCATCGGCTCATCCGTGTCATCCACAGCAGGGAACATGCTGGGGTCCAGACGCAGGCCCTCTCGAGCCGTCGCACACAACTCCGAGATGCTGCCGAAGTCGTCGTCTCCCCGGGACAAAGCCACAAAGGGCGAGCGCAGGTCGTTACCGCTTTTGGCACCACTTCCGACGACGCAGGGCCGGGCCCGGGTCAGGGGCAGCGTGTCGCCGGGGCCCAGCTGCGGCACCACCATTCGCAGCTGCGCCACCGCCAACTGCAACGTCCGCAGTGTGTGGGTGCGCAGCAACATCTGCAGCTCAGGAGGCAGCGGAGGCAGGACCACCAAAGACGTCTTGGGCCGTGTCTTCTTCCGGCACTGCCAGCCCTCCAATTGCTTCCGGTTGAAGAAGTGGCACAGCACCGCCACCAAGTGTTCGCGAGGGCCCTGGCAAAGCTTTGTCAGTAGTCCCCGCTCCTGCAGCAAGGCCACGAAGGCAAAGTTGCCTGGCTCCTGCCACCAGACATGCGCCACAAAGCCTGCAAAGTCTGTGACCCCTGAGGCACCCAGGAAGCCCTCGTGGAAGAGCTGGCGCATCAAAAAGCACAACATGTTGGCTCTCTGGGCCCGACTGCTGGCCCCCTGGCACGCGAAAGGGCAAAGCGCGCGGCCGGCTGCCCCTGCCACAGCCGAGGCTGTGGTCGGCAGAATTTGGGCCTTCGTGGCAAGACACAAAGCCAGTGAGGCGGTCAGGGGCTCGTTGCCCTGCATCACCGGTAGCTCCCCCACCAACAGTTGCTGCACCTCCTTGGACCGAACACCAAAGAAGACTGTGTGCCCGCGGAGGTCAAAGCCCCTGCGCCCTGCCCGTCCCGCCTCCTGCTGGAACTGCATGGGGGTCAAATAGACCGAGGCCCCGGCGAACACCGAGGTCTTGGACGGCATGTTGATTCCCAAGGCCAACGTCGAGGTGGACACCACGATGCCCAAGCGCTGCATGCGGAACAAGCGCTCCACCAGCTTTCGGTACGGGGCTGCCAGGCCAGCGTGGTGCACACCGATGCCACGTAGAAGGAGTTGGTGCAAGGGGTTCCTGTGGTCAAAGTGGTGGAACCGGGGAAGCTCTTCATCCACATAAGAAGGGGTGAGTTGCTGCTGCCCAGCCGGTGTCCAGGTGAACTCCCGAGGAATCGCTTGGAGACGATAAATCTCGCTCATGATCCCCTTCTCCATCTCAATCATATCCATCTCCCCCCCTGAGACCTTGATTGTACCTCCCTCCCCGCTTGCTTGAAGCTGCTCGACCCGAGCAAGGCTGGCCTGCACCGCACCCAAGCGATTTCTAAGCTGCTCCAGCTTTGCATCGACTTGGTTGACCTCTCGCCATCTCTTCTCCTGGTTTGCCAAGCCTAAGCCCAGCCTCATCGCAAGCTTCTCGCACCCTTGCCTGCCGTTGTGAAAGCAAATGGCCGGCAACATGTCTGCCGTCTGCAGCTCCTGCACCAGGGCACCAATGTTCTCCAACAAGTACCTCGGCAAACGGAACAGCCTGGCGCAGGAATGAGAGCAACGTTCAAACAGTTCCCTTGTCATAACCGCATTTCCCGTCTGGACCTGTTTGGGAATGCAAGGCATAGAACATGAGCCCCTTTCGCAAACTATGGTAGTCCGGGTAGTCCTGTAACATGCAACTTTGTTCAACTGCGCTGCCGTTTTTCAATAGACTGGCTGTCAATCTGCAAATGCCAGGTGTGACAGCAAATGTGGAAACAAATCATGAAGCAACAAGTGATAACACCCACTCCATTTGGTCAAGATGTCAAACAATGGCCAAACTAGGACAGTTGGGAGGCGCCTGCCTCTGGGTTTCCCAAGCCCTTTGCGCACACTCAGCAGTCGCCATAAGAAGTATAAGTGTGGAGAAACGCAAAGTCTACCTTCAAAGCTTGCTTCAGCCCAAGTTCTCGGAGGCA